CTTGTGTGAAGTTAGTATACATGCAAATACTACTCAATAAACTTAAATGAAGATACTTTATCTTATACCATAAATGTTCCAAAGTATAATCATCTTAAAAACTACCAGTAAACCAGGCTTTCTGTAATAAGCCTATAATATATTTAGGGTAATACTAATAAAAATAGGTATCCTGAAAGTATAAATGCATAAAAAATGCATGGTTACTTAACAAACTAAATGAAAGAACAGTAAGGGCAATCAGGAAAAGTTTGTAAATCTCAGGGAAAAGTATAATTTCCAGTCTATTAAACTTCTTGGCATTGCTAAAGGAAAAAAATTAGAGCAAGGTATCTGTTAATATGTTAGTTGGAATCAGGAAGGTCATTCGGAAGAAAAGGTAATGTCTAATTAAAAATCTATCTAAAAAATAAGGTACTAACTTCAGACTGAAGCTATGTGTTTTGCTAAAATGTTGCCTGCTGAGTGTTTGATGATATTTTTGGTTTGCTTACCTGCTGCTTTGAAGCAATCGCAGATTATAACTCTTCTCCCTACTGAGTAAATAAGACCTGCTTTTTGATATTTTCCATGTTTTCCACCACTTGAAGAAGGCATCTGGTCATCAAAGAAACAGTCTGAAAATTAACAGTGCATCTTCAAGATTAATGAAGCACATTAGCTTGAAAATATTAAAAACAAATTGATTTTAAACAAAACAAAAATGCAAAACACAGATTATTTACCTTTTTTGTGTGTGCTTTTATTTATTGAGCACTACCATCTACACAGTATCTACCACAAATTTCCACATTCTTCCTTTTCATAGAACCTTTTCCTGATCCTAATTTAATTTTTGTAAGCCTCTTACTGTTGTTATTTTTCCCACACCCCTTTACTGTTTATCAAGAATTTGTATGATTGCTAATTGTAAATGTAGTATTGTTTTCTTTTTATTTAAAAGAGAGAAGAGAGATTGTTACATACTTATATGAAGCACTAGAAATGAAATCCACATCCATCTAAATCCATACATGGATTAAGGAGTCAGTGCTTTAAAAACATGAACTACTGTAACTTACATTAAAAAAAAAAAATTCACAGCAATGTACTACACTGACAGAGTCGCAAAAGCCAGTTAAGTGTGTGAATGGTCACAACCCAAAACAGAACAGTCAAGACCTGTTCTTTTTTCAGTATAAGCTGAACATACCATTCCTGTTAGGTGTTACATGACAATATATGGCTGGTAGTGGAAAACTCTCTTTGAAGCAAATTAATAATTAGTATAGAGCCCTGCACCCAAACTGTATGTTAATTAAACTAATCCTGTAGACAGGTCATTCAATACAGTAAAACAGATAGGCATTTCCATCTTACAAGTTGAAAAAGACAACAGATACTGAGAATACTTCTATAAAAACTAGACTGCATGGATGAACAGAGAAACTATTCAGTGGAAAGAAACGAAACAATGAAAAACATTTACATATGAAAGACAGATCTTAAATAGAATTGGAAAAATCCTGATAGATCATCAAGTGTTAAACACCGCATCATTTCTGTAATGCTGAAACAACGAAGCTTTCTAATTTACAGAGTTTTTTGTGCTCAAAATCCTCTGTGCTGACATAAAGAGTAGAACACAGACGGCTAGTCATTGGTCTGCTTTCTGTTCTTGTTTCTACCAGATTGGTGGTGTGACATTGTCAAGTCACCTAAGATCTCATTGCCATGGCTTCTACAAGACTAAATGGGGAACAATCACTTTTATCTGCCTCATCTGGGTATTTGAGATTCGATCAACGTGCTTTGGGGACAAGAGATGAAAGTGACTGTAGAATTATGTATCGGATTATTTTTACTACATACAAACATTAAATGAAAATTAAAATTAGAATCCTCCTACCCAAGCTGTACATCTATAATCTCTTCTAGGAAAGTTATGCTTAAAAATCAAAAGGGGCAGAAAAAGATACAAAACAATAGAAATTGATGCTCTAAATATGTCCAAACTGTGGAAGTGTGGAAAAGGTATGTTTAAGTCACTCCACAGCCTCAGCCGAGACTGAAGTTGTCTGGAACCACCTAAAAAAAAAGCGGTCCGCATTGTCATTACCGGTGCAGTGGCTATCCAGGCAGTCCCATCTGCTATTTCAGAAGCTGGATAGACAACATTTTAGCTCTTCCCGCTGAGTCCCCGACTCTTCAGCTTGCTTCGTCTTGACTGGGTGTTTGTTACATTTCAACAGGGGTGTTGCCAAGGCGTGGAGCCAGGCTTACTTTGGAGAAGGCTCAGGCCCTGTGCTGCTGGATGAAGTGCGGTGCACGGGAAATGAACTATCGATAGAAGAGTGTCCAAAAAGCTCCTGGCGAGAACACAACTGCGGCCACAAAGAAGATGCTGGCGTTTCCTGCACACCTCTCACAGGTACTTCAGTTACCAATAATCACACAGGAAGACAGTGACAAATGCAGAGTTCACAATTTTTAAAGTTTGCGGATGCACAAAACTCCACAGTAATAAAATGTTCTGGCAGTATCAAAATGAACCAGCTGTTGGCTATGGAAATTTCACAGGTACAGAAAACCTCATTATTCAACACAAAGCCTTGGTTCCTCAGTAACATGCTAACTGCCACTTGCTACATGGGGCATGCCTTAAGCGTGTATCACATCTATCAATGGCAGGAAGCATTTCAGCATAAAAGCAATGGGAAATAACAGAATATACAAAGAAAAAGAGAAGGTGTATATACAGCAAAATCCTGTAATCAGAGCCCACTCCTGCAGACGTGGCATGTAATAACGGGTCGGGGGATCGATATCTTGTGCTACTTCTCTTGCACTTAAGCAACTGCACTATGCAACCCTTCACAGCTGACCGGGTGCAGTATGGCATTTCCTTCATCTTCTCAGTAAATGTAGTCTAATATTCTGATCAGATGCAGTAAATGCAATGTTACTAATTTTGTCTTAGAACAATAATTGCACCTAAGAAAAACTGATTCTTGTTTTTGTTTTTTCTTACTTGTTAATGACACAGATGGTGCATTAAGACTAGCAAGTGGGAAAGGCAGTCACGAGGGACGCCTGGAGGTCTATTATACGGGGCAGTGGGGCACAATCTGCGATGATGGGTGGACAGAGCTGAATACACAGGTGGTTTGCCGGCAGCTGGGATTTAAGTAAGATTACTTGATATTATATATCTGACTCTTTGACTTGACCATGATGACAAACATTGATGTGAACTCGATGCTATTCAAGAGTCTGTTTTTTTTAATATTAGCCGAGTGCTTCATAGAAACTGCTGAGTTGATATCCATTAAAGCCTGCTTCCCTCAGTCTCGAAGAGATATTTATGGCCTCAGTTTAGGTAGAAAAAAAAGCTTCAACTGAGGTTGTGATTTAGCAGCCTTTATTCACCAAGTTCCTTCCAATCATCCTTTTGGCTAACTTGAGATCAATGCATATGCTATAGAGAATACCTGATTTGTTGTATTCTATTTTGCCTATAAAAGTTTAATTCTTCAACATCTTTGCTTGTTGAACAGTCATTAAAAATCACAGATATTTTCAAGGTCTAAGTCCCTCTGGATCTAGCTCTGAAAAACTCAACACAGTCTGACCCTGGAATACTGTTATCTATTGAAAAGCATATTCTAGAAAAAAATCCCAGTAACAGTTTCATGCATTCACTCTTCACTACTTTTCCTACTGACTGTGGCTGCAAAGATACACTCTCACTAAGTGATTGTTGTCTTGCCTTCAGATTATAACAGCTCACATTCAAAAAAGAATTTTCTCTCATTTTTCCCCAGACTGTGACATTTAAATGTATATATAATACTAAGAACATGCTTTAAGTCTCAAAGTCAGTGAGACAGCCATATACTCGGTTGAAGGGAGGCCTTAATCAAAGGCACTACATTCTCAAGTTTGTATTAATGTAACAGTAATTCCTTAAAAAAAATTTACCAAAGCAGCAGCATATGGTGCTCTCATTGAATTTAGTACTAACTGAACCTGCTCTGTCATGGTTAACACTGTTTACTGCTACTACTTGAAACCTTAATTTCTTCAGAAATCATTTATTTCCTTTCTAGTGCTTAAGTATCACATGCCATCTGCTCACTGTGGACCAAAATGTTATGTATACGTACGTGTTATGCAGGTATGGAAAAAGTGCACCTGAGAGCTACTCAGAAGGAAGCTCTGGGCCCATCTGGATGGACGATGTCAGCTGTTCAGGGAAGGAGACAAACCTTCTGCAGTGCTCAAGGAGAGAGTGGGGAAAGCATGACTGTGACCATCAGGAGGATGTCAGACTCATCTGCCATCCAGATAACGACAGCCATAAATTCTCACTTGGTAAGGCATCTCTTTGGTAAAGTCACAGTATGAGTATTGCGGTGGGTGCAGATCCAAGCAAAGTATAGTAATCTTAAGGCTGCTCAAAATGTTAGTATCTGGCAGATGTATGCAAAGAAGGAACAGGAAGGTAAAAAAGCTCACTTTTCTCCTGAAGATCATAGGAAGTAATCAAGCTTTGTTTAAAAGGAACATAAACAGCCAGAACATTAAAGATCAACACAAATTTGTACAGTAACAAAGTCAGATGCCAGAGATCCTCTTCTCTCAGTCTTCACCGGATTTTAGACCTATGCAGCATCTCCTAATGGTATACTGCATTTCACTCAGCACTCTCCAAGTAACTGCCTCATGCTATCAAAAAATGGAGATGTACCTGAGCACTGAGGAATACAAATCAATAGTATATCCTCCTATGGCCTTACATTCCAACAGTCTGAAAAAAGAGATATGGAGAAAGAGGGGAAGTTCAGAGATAGCAAGAAGGAAGGGTGAGATGCATGACGTTATTTCTGTATTACTATTGCCTATCATTCATATTGTGCCTGGGTGAATGGGCCCCACTTGCTGACCAGGACAGAATGATACTACAAAACACAGATCAAAGAGCCAGTTCCAATGTCAAAAAGCCTACAAACTTGTATGAAGAAAGAATTAAAAGACAGATAAGAAAAGGAGAGAAAAATACTCATTACACAGTGGCAGTGTAGAACAAAATATATACAAATGAATTCCAAAGATTCCTAAATCCACATGTAGATAACTAAACAAGAACTAAGCTATCCTGCAAACTAAGACATGGATTTACTGCACGACATTGCCACCTGTTATAACAACAATCAGCACTTCCACATGGGCTTTTCTAGTCTTTCCCTCTCGCAGTCTTTTTCTTTATAGCCTTTTGGCCTCTCACAATCCAATGAATGTTTCAGGCTGCAGTACAGTTCCATTATGTGTAGATGATGTCAAATCATATTTGGTAGAAGGAATTTTCTCAGACCAAAAATAACAGGAATTCAAATCATGACTGCTGTCTTTACAGATGCAAACCATCTGTGCTGCTTTGCTCAAATTCCTATAAAATATAATCTTAGCTGAAGGAGGTCTGGTTCAGTTAAATGCATCCATATGGTAACATTCTCACATCCCCCATTACCAGAAAGTTATATTAATTTTGTGCTCATATATATTCTAAAGCACAAGGAGAGAACAATAAAACAGCTATACTGTATCCCATGCCTCTAGCTGGGTCATATAATTTTCACCTAAACCATATTCCAGAATAAGACATCATTTCAACAGAAAAACGAAGACTGTACCTGACATTTCCTACAAGAGTTCTGATTGGGAAGTGGACAAAGACTCTATTGTTACCATTTACTTCCCAGCATTTGAAAATGCCTTTTTTCTCCTTGTAAGGATGAATTCAGTGGAAACATATGAGAAATATTAGTAGATTATATGACTTGAGGAAATACAGATATTAAGGAACACTAAAAATGAGATAGAATACATTACAGTAACTACAACAGCATTTGTTTAGTATGTAAGATCATGACAATGTAGCTAAACAGAAAGTTGGTGATGTTAATTCATGTAACTGTCCAGACAGTGTGAACTCCAGTATAAACAATATGCTTTAAATGACATTTGAAGCAAACAGACTTTAATTTTGTTTTCAGATCTTTCCTCTTTTAAATAATGAATTAGGCCAGATTTAACTAGCTTTGATCCAGAGTAAGGTTTGGTAGACAAAAGTTATTCATATCCTAAATTAATTGGAATTAAATATCAAATGCAAATGTCTCAAAATACTACTTTATTTAAGATCATAATTAAGTTATTTCTCATCCTCGCAGATGTAGAAAAGATTAGGAAAAGGTTAGAAGAATGAGGAACAGTCTTTCCAATTATTCTAAAAAGAAACTCTCATTAGTGTATTAAGGATTATAAAGTATGACACACTAAAGGATTTAGAAGGTGATTCTCACCTAAACATTATGAAGAGGCCTCAGAGGAATTCATAACTGTTTTAAGGTTATGTACATTGCTTGCACGCTATAAAGGAGTTTTAACATAAGTGAGAATAAAGTATGTACTTTGCCTAATGATTCGAAATTTAACTACAGGCCAAGCATTGAACGAACCATGATAAACTAAATCTGACTAATTCACAGAAGTGAGATTTTGTATTATAAACATGTCTAAATAAGGAATCAATTTAAACTGCTAGAAAAATAATCACACATTAGTCTAGAATAACATGCTGTAGAACATTATGCTATCACACAAAACACGCTACAGAACAGCATGCATAACGATAAGTAGTAACTGAAGTTCAACACAATGCTGCACTTTTTTTGCTGACGTACGGGTTCAGAGGAGTGGTAGCAACCAGTTTGAGAATGGATTTATGAACGGAGATATAGCTAAATTCACCCATAAAGTTTCGGCAAGGAAAACATGTCCAGCTTGTATGGGTATCATATCAGGGATCTCTCTGGTGTTTTCTGCCTTTAGGGGGAGAATTGTTCGGTGCCCATTGTGATCAAATTCTGAGCTATGTCGCCTGTTTGCATGAAATGAAGGAACCCGATGAACTCTGAAGTTCAAAATACAGTTGTATTTCATATTTGTTTTGTAATTTGTACAAACTGCTTCCTTTTGCCAGCCAGGAAAAATATGACTACTTTAACAGTACTAGGTTTGTTGAACATAAACATCCGTTGACTCTACATACTGAACGTGATGAAAATGTCTTAGAGTACTGGTTCTTGCTTGTGTTGTTGTGAGTTGACAGCAGTAATTTATTCCCAGGTCCTCCCATCAGGCTGATGGATGGTGAGAATAAGAAGGAAGGACGTGTAGAGATTTTTATCAATGGCCAGTGGGGCACAATTTGTGATGATGGATGGTCTGATAAGGATGCAGCTGTAGTTTGTCGACAGCTTGGCTACAAGTAAGAAAACTCATTAAGCTGTTTCTCAAGTTATCTGTTTACTGTATCTAAAAACGTTAAGTTTCTGCAACTGAGTATCACCAACATATGCCTGATAACATAATACATGCCTTTTAAAACTTGTCAGTTTGGCATTCTTTTAGAAAAGTGTATTTATACTATTTGTATAAGAAGTGGTAAGGCTATGTCTTCAAAAGGAGTATTAATTGGCATACTCCACTATCCCAGTAGCATAATTAGGAAAAGAAATGTTAATATTCAAAGGCATATCACAGTCTGGCAACTAAAACGCAAGTCAATGCTAGTTATTAAACATTTTTTTTAGAAGTTAAATATTCCAAATTACTAAGCTATTTACTAAACACTGTATTTTGGGGATAAGACCTGAAGCCACCCATCTCTCTTGGGACAGATCTAAGCAAGCAAAGAGGTTGTTTCTCCGATGGTCATCTGTGCATAAATAGCAGGCTTGGAAAGCAGCAATTAAGGGACACGCACACGTTTGTTAAGGGTGGACTAAAACTAGTTGTAAGAGCACATTCCAGCATGTAACAAACATGTAAGACTTAACGCTTCTACTATGTAGAGATCTCCCAATTATATGAAATTATTTTCTCTATAAAGCTGCACTCCTTGCTCTAGAACATCATGGTTTTTACATTTGTTTCCTGGTAGATGTTCTATTGAAACAGTGGTTTGTTTGGGTTTTTTTTTTTTGTGTGGTGGGTTTTTTTTGGTAAGAGCGGCTATGGACACACCTTTCATAGCAATTAGCAGCAAACTGAGATATCACTGGTGCACAGTAAAACAGAGATAGCTTTCATATAAAGGTACAAAGAGGCTCTGCAGTCCAAGTCCCATGATTCAGCTGATGTCAATGCAGGATTGCAATCCATATGCACTAAGTTCCCTCCTTCATCTTTGTCTCTCTACATCTCTTTCACCTAAAATATTTACGTATGCGACCTCAGATGTCAGAGTATTCCTCGAGATTAATCTGGTAAGCCAATGAAATGCTTACGTGCACAAGTCATGTTGGTTTTTTATTGTGTTTGTTCACCTACTCCTGCATTTGGGAAAAAAGTTCATCATTCACACAACTGATGCTGCAGTCACTGCTGAAGCTGCAGGGCGTACTACATACAAGCTATAAGGATCAGGCCTTCCAACCCTAGTAAACTGTCCTAAGTCTAACATTTAAATACTCGGGTTTGATACTTATCCTTATACAAGCATAGGATTATCATACTTACCTTCTTTATCAAGTGGCTTGAGGCCTACGTACAAAAATGCTACACAAGCACTAAGTCCTGGGGCCCTCCCAGGAATAGGTGGGTGCTGAGACTGAACTGGGCTCGGTCTCTCTCCAATTACATTACAGTTTTAGAACTCAGCTGTGCAGGGCACTTTAAAAACAGCATGCTAATGAAAGATGTGAATAACTATCAACAACTAATAGAACAGATCTGTAAATCACAGCTCCTACTACACTGGAAGTATACTGTATTTAACTGGCCTGTCTTTCCAAGGGAATCAGACCAGAACCAATTATTTTTAGCATTCACAGATGCTGATTTTATATGAGGATTAAAGAGATTATGAAAAAGCAGCTTTCATATATTTTTAGATATTTGTAATGCCATAACAACGTAAAATACTTTGCATAGTGCCTTCTAACTAGATACATAAAAGTACTTTTTAAACATTAACAAACTGTAGCAATTTTGTTACACTTTTTTTTTTCTACATGCCAGAGTAAGAGAGGCAATGAGAGGAAAAGTTGTCATCAAGTCTATGAGTGACAAGGACTTGGAATAAAAACCTCAATGTCTTTCACTACTATGAAATGTTTCAGTTGAGTAAAATGTAGAGTGATGCCTCAAAATGCTTAATAAAAAAATATGCTCTGTTTCCAGAGGTCCGGCTAGAGCAAGGACAATGGCATATTTTGGAGAGGGCAAAGGCCCTATCCACGTGGATAATGTGAAATGTACAGGAAACGAGAGATCCTTGGCAGACTGCATTAAGCAGGACATTGGGACACACAACTGCCGTCACAGCGAGGACGCGGGGGTGATCTGTGACCACCTAAGCAAGAAGGCCCCTGGGAACAGCAATAAAGGTGAAGCCCCGTTGTGAGGGGCAGACCAATGGGTTCGGATGGGGAACTGTCATAGTAGGAAGAGATGGACGTAAACAATCCCACCCCGCAGAGGAAACAGTTATATCAAAAGAATTCTAGAAACAAAAGCAGTGGGAAATCCTCTCTGCTTATGCTGTGTGACCTTATTGCTGTGCCAGCTGTGCAAAGGAATCATAAGACTATTCAAATGATACAGGGATTTGTCTACCATAGTTTACAGTGGCCATGTTTCTTCAGTTGTACAAGAGACATGAAAATGTAAAAACCTAGACAGCTATTTTCAACTTTTCAAGGTATAGGTTATCTTCAGATGAGGATTTGAGGCCTATGTGGTATGCCAAGCTCTGCTTCCACTTACATGAAGTCAGGAAGGACCCTGTAAAAAAAAATCCTACACTTGAGAAGCAGAGCACAAATGTATAAATTGCTCTGTGATCATGTCAAAAGACCTCAGCTAAAAGGAATTTCTAAGCCTGAGAGAATTCAGTGTATTTTCCCTGAGCAAAATTCAGTTGTTAAAAACTACCATGAAACACAGAATAACTTCAGCCTTCATGTTTTTGGTTTTTTTTTTTTTTTTTAGTTAACTCTCATTGAAGATTGGCTACTTTTCATTTTGAGTTTAATGCTGTCTACATCTCCCTTTCTGGTTTAGATTCTCTTGCTTCTGTTTGTGGACTGAGGTTACTACACCGTCGACAAAAGCGAATAATTGGTGGGAAAAATTCTTTACGGTAAATAATTGGTAAAAACAAGTAACTTTGAATATAAAGCTTCTAAGACATGTATTTGCCATAAGCGGTTTGCCTAAATTACGGTTTTATTGTTTTGTTGTTTTTCTTTTGGCTCGTCATGAGGTAGAAGCAGAAATAAAGTAAATTTTGTAGGAAATTAGAAAATATTCATTGATAAATACTTGCAGCATTAGTTGAAAATCTGTAGATGCTTATGGGTTTACTCCTTGATTGGGTTAAATTTCTTACTTTCAAAATAGCCATTTTACTTTTTTTTCAAAGGGTATCTTGATATCAGGATGTGAGATATCAGGATGTGAGGTATGAATATAGTACCTGGTTTTACATGCTACCTACACTGAAAAAAAGGCCTGAGTATGATTCACTGCCTAAGACCTGATTTTCTTTCACAAAATAAGCCTCGATGACACAGCTATAAAACCAGGCTTTTTGTTAACACTTTGTTCTTAGCTTTTAATGACATGTTTACATTTAGTTAATATAAACAGATTAACTGAATATGAATACTACTACTAAATGCTACGCTAGAAGTATAGGTTTTATTTTCCTAACAGTTGTAACTACGAAAAATATACACAGAATCTTACAAAAGGCATTGTAAAAAAAATATAGTATCATTACATGCCATTGTGCAACCTGTTTCAAAGTACATGCACAGCATCAATCAATCAATTTCAAAAAAGACACTGCCTAAGTGGAGGAGCTTCAAAGAACAGGAGTAAGAGGGAGCCCAGAAAAGTGTTCAAATGCAGTCAAACAGAGCAAAGTAGGATTACTTAGCTTAGTAAAGAGACAAATAAGAATAATAGATAATGCATTGTACAGAAAAAGATCAAGAATTATTGTCTCAGAATATGTATACAAAGGACACTGGATGAAATGAAACGGTAACAAATAATGGATTGCATACTCAAGTTAGAGCAAGAAACACTATCTCATAATAAATATGCTCAGGGACATTAGATGAAGCAAAAAGGTGAGAAATCCAATAGTGCGCTTAGAAATGCTTCAAAATCAAGAAAAGGAACATACGAACAGTATCAGAAAAGGACTCATTGTCACAAGTAGTCATTAAGACAAAGAACAAAAAGGAACTGGATACTCACATATATACCAGGAAATCCAAAACTGTCTGAATTACGCTATTTTGGAAAGACATATTAAATCCCATCTTCCAAAACCAAAAAGTGTCTAAATTGTTTCATGCTTTATGAGAAGTAAATTCCTCCACCTTTAAAACATTTGCGACTGGCAGCTCTGAGATAGGATGCTAGACTAGATGATCCCAGGCAGCTCTTGCACTCCAGCATACCTATTCAAGTTGACAGTAGTCAGAAAACACCTAAGCCTACCTGTTGCTTATTCTTGGGTGTTGCTGTTGCTTACAGGTTGCACCTCTCTCCCTTCTCTCTGATTCCATATTTTGCTAATCTGTCAAACTTGCAAAAAATAATCCATCCTGTTTTCCTAGGCCTGCAAATATGTATCTCAGATCTATTATACAAAACAAATGATCACAGGCTGAAAAAAGGTGCTAATCTATTACTTGTGGTTTCTACAGTTGTTTTAGACCTCTTGGTTTGCCAGCTTCCCTTTTTGAACAGCTCAGAACTGACAAAGATACTAATGCACACAAGAAAGGATGCTGGGTTAAGCTTTTCAAGACATTCCCTTCTTTCCCTTCTCCAGTTGACAGGAAATTTTTGGTTTTGTTGACTTGGGCGGTATTTGGCAAGGAACCCATAGAATGTATTTTTGGCACAATGAATGCAATCTGAGAGAGGAAAATTAAAATAATTGACAGGAAGAGGACACGCTCAGAGCGCTGGATGCCCAAACAATCTGTAAAGTAATCCTGACCATTGTTAAATGGAATTCTGAATGCTGCAGGAATATAAAGGTGTTCTCAACTGTTACTCAATAAATAACAGTGTTTGCAAGCTATGTCTGTCAAAGAAACTAAATAGGATTTACAGTCAAGGTAACTGACAAGCAACCTTACTTTTCCATTGTTGTACCCTCAACGCAACATCTTATGTCCTCGGTAGGGGCGGCTGGCCATGGCAGGTTGCACTCCGACTGAAATCTTCTCATGGTGATGGAAGACTCTTGTGCGGTGCTACTCTCATCAGCAGCTGCTGGGTCCTCACTGCTGCACATTGCTTTAAAAGGTAGGTCTCTCTTCCATAGTGAAGTGTATTTTCAAACTATTTTGTTGTCCTGGGTATAGGTAAAAACATTCCGGTTCAAGCCCACTGAAAACTGTTCCAAAGAGTTGGTCTTTGGTTTAAAAAAACCCCTATCAACCAACCTCCGTTCCCTCCAAATAAAAACAAAAAAATTCTAATATATTGAAATTAGTCTGGGTGTCATCATTCATGAGATTTATATTCACAACTTCAGCATTTCCATGAAAAAATACTTCTGACATTTTAGCACAGCTTTCTGTTCCAACAAAACTGCGGCTTACGGCTCTCAGGTTTTAGTAAAGACAACTGAGCAAACATCAAACATAGGGACTGTAATATTTCAGATTATTTTTGGTAATTATAGATATTGGCTGTGATAGACATTTTTACTGTAATACTGCAGTGACTAGATGAACTAGTCCTCCCAAACCCATTTTAAGGTAAAACACTATTACCTATTTTGCTGAGTCTAGTAAGAAAGTAAATCTGTACACTGGATGCTAGTGAGACCGAGCTGTTTTGCTGATTCTTCACAGACAGGCTGGAGCAACGGCCTTACTCTGTTATCTCGCAGCACATAAAGAATTGTCTTTTGCAGCTACCTAAACAAAGGTCCCATCTCCTTTAACAAAGAAATAATTGTCTAAGTGGTTATACTGGTATAATTCTCTGACACTGGCATCTAATAAAACTATGCCAAATTCAGCTCCTTTCCAGATGTTTAGCAACTGGTTTGCAATTTACACTCCCTTGTAAATGACATTTGAACTACTTGGTCTAACTTCTTCTGCAATTCTCAGTACTAAGCTATTATCTAGCTTTTTAAAATATCTTCCCCATTTTTGCATAAACAGATATTCGATTACCGATAATTCTCCTGGTCAGTTTTTATGATATCCCCTCTTCAGTAATTTTGACATGAGAAATTCAATGCTGATGAAGTTCCTGTAGTATAATAGCAGCAACTTGCACAGTAAGGAAGTATTTTACACTTTCAACAGCAATTATTTCATTGGAATCCTTACAAAAGGTTGCAGTATGGGCTGGAATAAAAGCATAGAAAAACAGCATTGCAGTTTTGAGGAAATTTGCTCAAGTGGGCTGCAAATGTTTTAACTTTGGACTTGGAGCCTTTCCTTTTCCACACTAACAACCAAAAGAAGAGTCAGCTGTACTTTTACTTGAGTGGAGAGCGTTACCTTTGCTTAGCGCAAGATGCACGTCTTTTCATGTTTCATGAAAATCATGAAGGACTTTTCTGGGTAATATTTCAAGCTGAAATGGTCAAACTCAGTAACATTTCTCCCTACTCCAACTGATGTCCCAGTTGTTTCTGTGGAACTATGAAAGCACTTCAGTTGCTGTCATCAAAATTTATAGACAATGGCTTCCTATTCCCCTGTTCATCATCTCTATAGTGATTACTAGGGATGCCACTTAAGCTCTTGAGGAGGTCTTTGATTAAAGGCTTGAAAACAAGGCAGTCCTTCCCGTTGTTTTACCTCAAAGATCCTCCTCAAGGAAAGTAAAAGGGAGGTCACAGGAAGCCAGCTATGTTTTCTGTGTGCAAATCAAGATCTTAAGTTACCCAACTCTTCACCTTATCACACTTTCACAAAGTTTGGTGAAACAAGTTCGTATGTGCTGTGCTGCGCTGCTGCAGTTGCAGCGCATTCTCGCAGTACGTCCTGCCGACCGAATACATTACCTGTTCTTCCCAGGCGCTTGCTGACATCACTGGGGCTCCAAGTCATTACTGAACGTGCTGCCAAAGCGGGCCCATTTTGAGTACTTTGCTGAACACCCACAGGATGGGGCAGCAGCATGGCTGGAGCAACGTACACTGTGATACTTCCAGGTCGGTGCAGCCACCTGAGGGTCTGTTACAGGCTGTCCTAAAACTGTTACATGTGGCCTCAAGGACCAAAACATTGTTTTGCCCCAGATGTTGCATTTCAAACTGTGCAACCTAGATTTAAGCATGCAACTCCAACAGCCTCTGGATGCACTACTGTTTACTGTAAAAGACAGAAGGCAACTTTAGCTCTAAGTTGACACTGGACAGACTGGGCTGAACTTCCTAATGATCTCAGAGTGATTTTAAGGGGCTAGGTTTCCAAGAGCTATCTATAGATCAAGCGCCTTCTTCACATATTTTCCACAGACAGACAGGAGAAAAGCCAGTATACCATTTCTCATATCCTGGAAATTGGAACAGTGCTTAAGTAACAAAGTGGGCTCATCTGTACTATGGATAATAATTAAATGCAATTTTATGCATGACGATTAGAATTGTTCGCCAGTAGTACAGCAGCATTACTGGTTTCTGTAATTTCATAGACACATAATTTAAGATCAAAAATTGTTTGAAGCTATTTTTCCTTTTATAACCCACCCATCTTAGTAGCAAGTTTTGTCCTGGGTGCTTCTCACTGCTATAATGAATTTGCAGGTCTATACATAAAAAAAATTTAACTTTGGATAATTAGAAATATAAGGTGTAGGAAAAAAGGGAATGAAAATGACCATGATGTCATTTTAGGAAATACTGTGTTACTTGAACATTGTACTGTTCTAATAATACAACACTTATTTAAGTGCTTCTTTAGGAATTCCTGAATGCCCATGTATACTTGAACATGATTCTGCTAATTTAGTTTTGAGAACTAGGGACCCTGAGGCACAGTAGAACCAAATACCTAGTAAGACAACAGAAACCAAAGTAGACATTAGAATTAAGTCAGTTCTCTCAGATTTAGCATGAATGGTGAGCTGAATTCAGGTGTGCCTTCCATCTCAGTACATTACTTGACTGGCAGCAGGATGATACTCACATGGTGGCTGATGACTAACCCATCCTCCAGCTGGCTGGGAAATAAACCTTCTAGGAGGTGCTAAGGTCAACATTGCCAGGCTGCACTAGAGCTTAAAGGCATGCCCAGCCCAGCCATCCAACAGAGGGGTGATACCCTGAAAGTAACATCACTTTCCCATCCATGAAGCACTCCCAGACTCCTCCTCTGCCTCCACACTTCAAATGTGATGTGTGTGGTGGTTCTCTGCCATTTCACAGGTGACTTTAGGTGAGGAAGACTGGACACCCCTGAGCTGGACTACTTTCCCTTTTGTATGTACTGATGCTCTATTACAGTATTTCCACATTTGGCAAATACCAACTACTACAGGGGAAGAAATATAATTGTCTAAAGATGAAAAAAATCAGTTTAAGAAAGCCTTATGTGTGTGAAGGCGCACAGAAATATGGTAAATCTGTGCAAAGACTGCTCATTATGTTTCTCACTAGAAGCCTTGTAGCTATTAAAGTTTCATACATTTGCATGAGAAGCAGCACTTTTCATTCTATTGAATGTTTAAAATCAGTACTTTTAATTAAGATAAGCTTTCCTGGATCTCCTTTCTGCATTATTCTGCTATAAATGACCATCATCCATAACAGAGAAAAACAGGAGGAACCTATTAAAGGTAACACTGTTCCTTGTGTCAAAATCAAGGATGTAACATTAAATAGAAGCAGCAAGTTTTCTACTATACTATCTGATACACAGCTGACAGGAGAGCACTTGTTATCACTAGGTATAAACAACTTTCCTTCATGCTTAGGCTCTGAATCAAAACAAACAATTAAAAATCAAGTTCCTTTGATTATTAAATCAGTTTAGGAAGGCAGTGTGTTTATTTCTCATCTAAATTACAAACACCTAATACATTTGTGACTCTGTAGTACTCTGACTTCCATGAGGTTTAAAAAAAAAAAAAAAACCACAAAAAACCCACACAACTCCTTCCCCCCTTCAAATTGCATTAAAGATAATTAATAGAGTATATGGTAAATCCTGTAATTGATGTTGTGGATAAGGCCTATAAACTAAAATGCAGAGGCACTCATTAAATTAAAAAAAAAAAATTTATACCATGTAAAATTACCTTTCTCTACTTGAGAGCCAGATTTCCATTGCACCACTGACAATACACAGCTGCAAAGTACTGTGATTGTGTTTGTTTATATATACAAACGCTCTACATCAATGTACACAATGGTTAACTTAGGCAAATATTTATTAGAAGGTAAAAAGGTTTTCATAATCCAGAAGCTATCAGCATAGCACTAACACATGGTTTGCTGCACAGCGCCAAAAGTGTATCTATAAATGATGAGAGAGTATTTTCAGTGACCTTTTGGAAATGTTTTTGGCAGATTATGTCAGGCAAATATATATTTAATGCTAATGACCTTATACATTTGTATTCCAATATGACACTCAGACATGTAGCAAAAATTGTTAAAATATTACTTTCAAGCATTGAAAGATCCTATCTAGCAATATATTCTAGGGTACAGAATCCTATTTATGATAGCTTTTAAAGGCAATGAGATCAACAGTTATAAATAATCACTGTAGCAAAATTATTAAACTATCTAATATTGCTTAACTGGCAAAGGAAACAGCATAATTTTCTTAACTTACTGGGCTCAGTTGCTGTATTATTTATATTCTGAAGTGGAACGTCATCCTGCAGTTATGAAATTAGAGCATAAAAATATATCTGAGATGTCAGTCACAAAAACAACTCTTCTGTTTACATTAGTGGGGGTTTGGCATGTGAGTTAAAGTAATTCAAATGAAAATAATAAAGCCATTTTACTGCAATAGCAACGAAAGTACTCCCTGTATCAGCCTCTTTTTCTAATTTACTCTGAGGAAAATAGATCCTACAAAGTTGGCTAATGCATCAGCCAAGACTGACTGTCATCTCAGCCTGGGCAAGGCATCGGAGAAGTACTTAGTTGGCTGTATAACCCATCCCAGTGTTACTACACTCTTTACGTTCTGAGCAGTACATCTGTTCTGTAAATAGATTTTGTAAAAGTGAAAGACGGTTTGATACTGCATGCCCTGAGCGTTCAGCCACCTGCCTCCACACAGACTCCCGTCTGCTTTGGAGAGGGGCACAGGAGTTGCGCTGCCAGTGTGTAAAACATTCTATAGTTGGGTATTTCATTCCTCTGTTTTACAAGTTTCACAGAGGACCAACGTGTTGATTAGTTTACACAATAAAATGAGATAGCAGGGTCTGTCAGTCTGGTTTTCATAGCGCATTCAAACTGCTTTATATCCATAGTAGCATGCTTTCTGTCAATCAATCAACATTATGGGTACTTCCATGAAAATGATGGCCAAAGTGATCAATACAGTTGCCCTCAATTTGGTAGTTTCTCTTGCTGCAACCAATTCAGAATTTTTTTAACTGTAGTTCTAGGAAACACACTGCCTGTGAGTGCCTATGCCGATATAGCCTCCATGTGAAGAGACAAATGACCATTTAATATGTATAAATACTGAACTGCAGATGCAACTTTCTGCAGAACACAAGATTAAACTAAGGAATCAGATTAATTTTCCTACTAATATTTTCCATAACTAGAGTGATAAAAAAATACTTTCCCCTCTAATTTGTATATTTATATAAAAATATGTTTCTAACTTTGAATGCTATGGTTTTGCCAAAGCATTACTGGAAATTTTTGCACATGGGCCAGGAAAATTTCCTTTCAAGTCTATCTATATGGAAACATGCTAAATTAAATTCTGAATTATAGTTTCTATAAATTCCCAGAAGCAACAGTAAGCAAATATATAAAACCTATTCAGTACAAACTGGTACTGAAACGTACCAAGCATTTTATTGGAAAGATGCACAACTTATTCGTAAAAAAGTCAGTTTCACAGAAACAATACTAGAAGAAAGCTGTGTTAAGTAATACTTATACTATATAGTACTTTAACATACTGAAAATGCGTGTAGCCTCACTCCTTGCTGTATTAAGGAATGCCAAATAAATGACAAGAAAACACAAAAAGAAACCCACCCTAGATCACAGATGAGATCACAGCACTGTTGTAAAAAACCCCACTGTTTTCTAGCCAATGCCAGATTATACTTTTACTGGCTCAAACATCATAGCTTAGAGTAACAATAGACATTTAGAGCGATAATAGTATACTGTCTCGGCAAAGCATGGTAAGATTAGCCTTTTCTGCTCTAAGGTGTGTGGCAACAGTGACCCTGGGGGGGATTCATCAGTGTCAGAGCAGAAATTCTTGGCAGGCAGCAGATGGCAAGGATTTGACAAACAATCTATAGGGATGCAGAATTTAGGATTTCACTGATGGCATATTTCAGGTGGCCAAATACAGATGGATATATGTAATTCCAGAAACAAGTTAAGACCTACCAGCCTTTCTTACTCTAAAGAATCTCCTTAAAGGCAACAAAAATAAAAGCGATGTATCAGGTGCCAATCCTATTTCGATGGAATTTTGCCATTTATTTTAATCAGGAAAAGAATCAACTGTGAAGTCTTAGTGAGCTTTTTAAACTGGCAAAAACACACAAGATGATCTAGAAATGAGAATGTGAGATCTAGTGCAAGAGATCGATTCTTTTTTTTTTTTTTTTTTAAAAAGTCTACAAAGAAATACCTGTATTTTGGAAACTTCAAGGGACTGGAGTCAGAAGGGCTGGAGAGCCAGGATTCATGCTTCTGCCTTTTCTGATGTTCTTTTCCTATTCATGCTCTCATTTCTTAATAGAAAATTCCTAATGAAAATTGATTCAGTAATAAGTTATAAAATACTAGCACTTTTGTGGTCAAAACAGCAAGATTGGTAATGTGACACATACAAATAGAGGTTTTTTCTTAAATATCTTTGACATAAACATACTGATCCACCAATTAAAAAAGGCTCGAGCTATTTTTTTCAGGGAAAAGTAATGTATTTGGTAGAATACACAATTTAATTTTTTTCAGTTCTGCCTCCGAGACCAAATCAGTATGAATACTTATTTAAACATCTCTGTAAACTTTAAAAAGTCTCCATCAGTTGCATCTCTTCACTTCCAGCTGCTATAGAATTTACAAGCACATTTTTACAAAGAAAATAGAGTATCTGGAGAGTATTTCACAGGGACTACTACTACAGAGGACCTGGAAAAAGTTTTGTGGTAGACAAGTGACTTCATCTTTCCTATACAGAAGGCCATCTTCAGATGAACGGATGTTTGGTCATAGCCTGCAACTCTCTCTCCTTACAAGCCTAGAATTGAAATTTTGCTCATAGAAGATCTGAAGGAGATGTGCAGAATTTGACAAAGAAAGCTTTGCAGGCAACCAGGAGTGCAACCCACAATTAGAAGAAAATATTCAGTGGTACAGTTATATATTGTTCAGAAGAAACCTGCAATGTTCCTGCTTTGTCTGCTACTCCTCAAACAAGCTTTAGTAAGCTATGCAGATCAGCACATTGCTGGAGGGTATAAAAAGAACAAGTATAGGTTAGAAGGTGATGAAACACCGTAGGGTATTTTCTGCACATGTATTACAAATTTCCTGTTGAAGGCTATGAGGGAAAAGGAGAAGTCAAAAGAAAAATATTTGGGTTAGCTTAGCCAGGTTTTAAATTAAATAAATGTACCCAACAGTACTCCCTTGTTTGCATTTTCCTGAGAAGGGCTATGTGTCCTATAATCCCAAAATCTCCAAAGGCATGCACAGAAAATTGTTATTTCAGCCACTGTAATCATCTCTAAGGTATTTACCATTTAGTCTATGATGTGAAAGAAATTGGGGTCATATTAGATGCAAAACAAGTCTAAGATTTACAGGCCTTCTGTTACTTTGACAACAGGTACTTGTGATGCACATATGCTTTGTTTTCCTTATTATAACTTCAGTTAACATAAGAGGTTTTTATCAAGTTATCTAAGCCTCTAGAATTTCTCAACCAACCTACAAAGCAAGCTTGAACACTGTTTTCATTTCAGTAATTATTTGGAACATCACAATGATGTTAGTACTCAGGTTTTCATTATAATTACTGGCAGTTTGTGTTACCCTCACTAAATACATTTATAATGCACACCTTGCTTGCACCTTTGAAATAAGCGCCAGTCATGGCAGATGGCCATAAGAAACCTTGCCTGTGAAAATATACAAAAAGGAACAGCCCAACCTGAAACTTCAGGAAAAGTTTTTTTTATATTCTTTAGGGTACACTTGAATGTAAATCTAAACATCCAAGAAAGCATTTTTGCTCTTAAAAAAAAAACTTTTGGTGTTATTTATATGAGCAATAAAGACCCTGATCAAATCTGTTCGCATGCTTAGGATCTCACTTTGCATGAGTCAGCCCTGTTTGTTTTCATCTCAATCTTAGGTATGGCAACAACACTCGGACCTATGCTGTGCGAGTTGGCGACTATCACACGCTGGTACCCGAAGAGTACGAGGAAGAAATTGGAGTCCAACAGATTGTGATGCATAAAGAGTACAGGCCTGACAGCAGTGACTACGACATTGCACTGGTGAGGCTACAGGGGCCAGAGGAACAGTGTGCCAGATTTAGTACCCACGTCTTACCTGCTTGTTTGCCATTGAGGAGAGAGAGACCACAGAAAACTGCTCCCAACTGCTATATCACTGGATGGGGTGATACAGGTAAAAATATTTTAAAGATTTCCACCCACCGATCTCAGTTCTCATTACCTAAGGCTGCTTATTTACCAAACTGCCCCCCCCCCAAACCTCAAATGCTCAAAATGAAACAATTTTACTCTTTTTATACAGGGGAATATTTTCTCTCCTGATCCTTAACCAGGAATGACAACCTTTGTTTACTGAATTTAGTTTGTGTTTGAAAAGTGGCGATTAACCATGTTACTCTAAATCACAGAACCAGTCAGTAAATGGCCTCATTAAGATTGACAAGCATGAATGAAAAGCTTATTTGTTGCCAGGCACACCCTGCTTATCACCTCCTGCCTCAGAACATAACTAACAGCTCTAGTATATTCAAGGTTTTTAAGGTAAGTACAATGAATATTTTAGAAAGGTTATTTAAATTACACTACTTCAATAGAAAAATGGATAGAAAATATACACATAATAGAAATTCAAATAACATTTTTAGCCTCCCTTGTGTATCAGCAGTTAGATTTAAATAAGAGAACATTTTGCCAAAATTTACGAAAGCCACAATGCAATCTGCAATCCAGGCTTCTGGAACAAACGAGTCACTTTTTAGGTCAGTACAAGATTCTTCCTCTTCAAAGGTCTTTGTCCTTTAAATGTTTTACAAATTAATAACCATGTTTTACTTTCATGTTTTTATGGCGCTGAATACAGTGCAAGACAGCAATCACACTTGAGCCTTTGTTCCACTGACTCATTCAAACTGGCAAGGGGACAAGGCGGCAAGGCCAAATATCAGTTCTTCCTTTTTACATGCATTAATCTGTGTGCACAGATGTCTGGGTCAGTGTACTACAATAAAGGAGATAGACTTGTAGGGGAGGGGTTGCTAAAAACAGTTGCTAATTCATTGCCTAGCTCTGTCTAGCTTTTTACACAATTCACTGAAAGTTCTGCAGTATTGTTTACTTCGGGTATCTATTTAAGGGAACATTAACCACTGCATTAATTGGCTTTACTTATGGTAAGAAATTACATCATCACGGTACTTCAGTTGACATTTCACACTTACTATATGAATAATAATTACAAGTATTAAGGTTTTACTTAAAAAAAAAAAAAGCCCAACACTGGCTTTAATTTCCCATGTTTCCAACTGAAAAAGAGGTGCAAGCTATAGAAAAAAGCCAAATGATTTAATTCTTGACATTTTCTAAGCAGAGCACTGCTTATACAATGCAGGATTCACTACAGATAAAGCAAACCAAAGGACGGTTCTGGTTACCCCCAGAAAGTGAAGATTCCTTCTGGTCAGGAGTGCCATTAGTACTGTGGTACACAGAAGTTACCAGGATTGTACAAGATTCAAATGATACGGCCGATCTCTACCAGAGTACACTTGGGCTCAGTAACGTTAGCTCCTCAGTTGAGGTGCTAAGCAAGCTTGCGTGTACTTACAGGGTGTAAGCATGATGGATGGCTGGATCCTCTGCTTAGAAGCTGACAGAGGATGCAGCACCTGTCAGGCTGAGCTAGACCAGATCTGAACTGGTGACCTAGAAAAGAAGTATTTCTACAGCTTTAGTCTTCACTACTTAAGACTCCCAAAAATGGCTTCCCCGTTTGAGTATTAAGGCATATATTCTTGTACAAGACACACAGTGTGTTTGGAACAAAACAAACTCCATCCTTGGAAAGATCCAGTGAACACAAGGAATAAAGGTTTTAAGCTTTTTTTTTTAAAAAAAGCATCTATAGTCCATATTTTCAATATCGATATAGTATTTTTAGTATTATATTTAATGCACAGTAGATTTTTTCAGTATTCAGTCTTGTTTTCAGTCATTTTATTTAATGACAAAACAGCACGAAGGACTGACAGCAAAACTTGTATTAAATCACATCTATGTTTCCAAGACCACTCATCATAATGAGACCATAATTTGGGTCCTCTTTTCAGGAAGGGCCTATTCAAGAACATTACAACAGGCTGCCATCCCCTTACTTCCCAAGAGAGTATGTGAAGAGCGTTACAAAAGAAGATTCACAGGAAGAATGCTCTGTGCTGGAAACGTCCAGGAACAGAGACGTGTTGATAGCTGTCAAGGAGACAGTGGCGGACCACTGATGTGTGAACGTCCAGGGGAAAGCTGGGTTGTGTATGGCGTGACCTCCTGGGGCTACGGCTGTGGAGTGAAAGATTCTCCAGGTGTCTACACAAAAGTATCATCTTTTGTACCCTGGATAAAAAGCGTGACCAAACTATGAATATCCGTAATGAAAAGCAAACTTTGTTAATGAAGTTTGAGGCAGGACAACTTGAACAGCACAGACAGTGCACAGCTGGGGCCCACAGTGAGTGGAAACAGACACACTTGCCCGATTCATGTGTTTTCCTTTTTGTTAAATCCAAGCTGTATACACAGAACCTTTCCAGTCAGGGATTACTATCCAAGCAAAATCCCTCTGCGTGAAGGAAGTTTATATATTGCACAAACATGTTACCACACATCTAAGATGGGGGAAAAGTGATAGCCAGCGTAGAATATCAGTGGAGCAGGACAGCTGGAGAGTTCACTATGAGAATCACTGCCCACAGGAAGACTGTAGCAGCTCCAAGCTTCTCTAGAATTAATTACAGATCTCAAAATTCATCTCCAGTCTAGTTTATTTAATCAGTTCTTGACTGTTTTCCTATTATTCCTATGATCTTATGCTCAGCCCTCTAATTTTGACTTGCATTTCATTAGCTCATGAGACCACTTGATTCTTGCTAAGTAATTCTGAGTATTAAATGTTAGAAGGAAAACAATTGTCAATAATCAGATCCCCAGCTATTCTGATAAATGTTCTCACAGCTTAGTGTGCATAAAGTACATTCCCAAGTAAAACAGATAGTAGTGGAAGTTAGTTTCCCCACAAACATCCTGCACAGCTGCAAGAGCTAGATCAAAACCAAATAACCTCTTATTTTCTTTCCTCCCGATAAATACAATTTGACTTCTTTCTGAAATTCATAATTTTTAGTACATCCAGCATTTCAGAGAGAATTTACTCTTCCTATTTACCACTAGCTGTCAGTACAGTATCAGACTAACAAACATCCCAATCCTCTCATTGCTGGTTTTGGAGAGGCTTTACTCAAGTAACACCAGGAACTCCATCAATTCTACAAGAGCGAGTTATAAGTACGTACAGTGCAAATACTGGAGATGTTGAGCCAAAACCTGTCTGATAAGGTCTATAAAGTCTTAAACTACTATCTTCTACAAGGTAATACTTAGAAAACTCTCTCCTGCTTAGCTGCAACACTTGTTCAGACTGATCTTACAGGAAAGGTTAGAGTTAGATAGTTTTCAGTGAGTAGTTCTAAAGTATTGACACATCCTGATTCCATTTAATTCCTTTTACTAACACTGTCCTCCACACTGTGAAAACCTTAATGGTTTATTGTAAAAAATGCACGGATAAAAAGTTACTCTTGATGTACAAGGCAAATATAAACCAACTTACCATCCTTTTGGAAAGGGTCACCCCCTTGAACTTACCACACAGAACACAGGAAGCAATCACCATCTTGGTGCAACACTAACAGCTACCAGGCTTGAAAATACCTGTGACTAACTACAGTCAGGAGGGAGGCGGGAAAATTCAGCGCTGCCTCACCGATCCCTGTCAAAGGCCACTCTCACTATCCGCAAGGGCGCTCTGCCTATTACATTAACAAACACGCTTCTTAAAAAGATGAAACGAAAGCTCTGTGGGCCAGGAAACCCTCCAGCGTGACAAGTGTGGCAGATGTGTGTCACCACATAGTGACTGTGCAAACTGTGACTACCAGTGACGCTTCTCCTGTGTTTCCTATCCCCAAACACTCTGGCTACAACAGTGCTGTGTGGTCTTTTGTGAACAAAGTGGGACTCTTGTATTCATGTTGTGAGTGGGCAGTCATTCAATCCTGCATGGTTCTAGGTCTCTCTAGTATTCTAACAAATATCTAAGACAAAATTTGCATACGAAAGTGGCAGTGATATTGCAGAAGCCCATGTGAATGAAGACTTGGCCCTTAATTTCTCTCCAGCATCAAAGTTAGTTTTCAAGGGTCAGGACTAGTTTAAACATCTTGTTGGAACTGGTGCTAAACAAGTACACTAGGTGCTTTAATATATTTTAGCTTTCTGTTGTTCCGCACTATTTGAAATAGTGTGAAATATTTTCTTTAAAAACATGTCAAAAATCATAGTACTGTGACCACCTACTGTTAAACCTATGTGAAACACTCTGCTAGTGAACTTTAAAACAGTTTACGTATTTACTTATACATAGCCCTTTTAATTAAAGGAAAAGGGAAGTATATGTCAAAATGTACCTACTTGTACCATCAAAGTTTTGTTATACAAGACCCATTGTTTGAGACTTGTGGTGACGTAGGCTATATAGTGCAATACATGTATTGTGTACAGGGGAAATACTATTCTCTTAGAAGTTGCACCACAGAAATATGATACTTATGGGTAAAAAAATTATCAAGAATGCATATTAAATGTAGTGAACATTTAGATTTAGTACAGTAGTTCATTAGTTTTGCTGTTTTAAGATGATGCTTTGCTAGATTTTAAAATGTTGCACTACTGTTTTCATGCAGAGAGCATGCCTTTTCAAACAGAAAATGAAAGTGTCTTTATGTTATACCATTCTACTTTTTGTTCAATGAGCCTGATGATGTAAATGTATATAATAAAAACTGCCACACTGACTACAAGTTTTATATATTAATCCTGTGGATAATGTACAAGCAGATGCTGCAGGAACATCAGCTAAGTACACTTCATGTGAGCTTTCTTAAGTGAAAAAGGGTGCTCTTGAAAATATTTTCTTCAAAGCATATAAGCTTTGGGCCATTTTCTCAAAGATGGAAGTTTGTTCTGTGTGATGGAATTCCTAGCGCTTTGTGTGCTTTAACTTAGACCAGTTAGGTTGTCACAAATAAGTTTATCCTACATTCTTAAAACTGCTTAAGAATTTTTTTGACCCTTACTCCTATCCCCTTTGTTCAACATTTTTAACACACACAAGGTTGAAGAAAAACCTGCTCTTCAGCCTATGCGAGGGTTTTTTTGTATTAAGCAGGTTGGGCACAGCGTTAACAGTGGCACAAACTAAGAAAATGCTCCGCACTTCTGTTACCAGATTAGACGACCATTTTAAACACTGATGTGTCATCTGTCCAGGTTCCCCAACACTGTGAAGCTTTATAGTCAGATGCAGTGCCTCGGAACTTCCCAAGTTTTTGTCCATTTTCCAGAGAGTATACAGACAAACAAAATAAACAAAGAACAGATGCATTACTGCAACTGACACACAAACAAATATCTCAACAGATAAACCAAGATCCTATTTTATGATCATTACATGCAGAATATCTGTAACCTCAGCTGTCTTACTTCCAAAAAAATTCACAGCACTAATAGCTTATATTTAACAAAGTCAGTCCAGAGTCAATATTCGCCATCACTGCCAATGTTACTGCAACTATTTCACACTTTCAAAGTGCTAGAATATTTATACCAAAGAAGATTTTAATGCTGTTACGATTTCAGAGTGTCAATTGCAGAATATAACGTATAAGAAGGCAAAAACAATTAGGCTCAAGTAGCAGATCACAGTAGAAGAAACCACGCAGAAAACAAGCTTGTGGTATTAGGCAAGAAAAATGGGTTCTGTTTGTGCTCCAACTGAGGTGGTAGAGACCAGGCCTACCTCATACACATTAGATACCTGCTCACGTGCAGCAGATCCTATTCCATTTATTTAGTACGGAACACAGGAACCGACCATGTAACTTCCTGCTAATGCAACACCAAGCAACCACAAACAAGGAAAAGATGACTTAAGAGTTTGGAAAGAAGTATTTACCTTTGTGGCAATGTAAAGGAAAAAAAAAGACTGGGTTGGGTCAAAGTTGGAGAGGTGCGACACACTGGATGTAACTGCAGATGGAACAGGGTGCAGAAAAAATAAGGAACACCTGTGAAGATTAAGAGCTAAGACGCAACAGGAATAGATTGGAAAGATAAGGAAACAATTGTTTGGGAATTGGGAATTAAATTTTAAGAGAAATCATGAAAAACAGGCCATCCTAAGCCACACGAAAATGAAGAAGCCACATCTTGTAAGACTGCCTCTAGTGTACTCAAGTAATGAGGGAAAGCAGATTTCACTACCCTGTGTGCATGCGACTGGATGCTCATGGAAAGCTTCAGTCACAGGAAAGGCTACGTAACCTCACTAAGCACTCAAACATTATAGTTCATACTTTTGTATTTGACCATAATCTTGAAAATTAGTTTTTCCTTCTCTGTCACTGTTTTATCTTTGAAAGTTCTAAATATTTGATGAAGTTATCAAAATTGGATGTTCACAAATCTAACCTGCAGGCCAGATCAAGCCACCAGGCCAATTTATTCAGGTGGAAATGTCAGCAACCTCATTACTTGGCTCACACAATGGTCTAGCAGAACAGCTACAAAGTCCTCCGTTACAGCCAGTTTCACACAAAAGGATCCTCCATTATAGTAGGCAGAGACAGGACAGTCAGTTTTCAAAGGGCAGCTTGTAAAAATAATAATAAAAAAATACAATTCAGGTGGTTTTTTTCGCTGATAAAATTCAAAGGAATTGGGGTAACACATCAGGCGACCACATCAGTGCAATGCCGTACAGTAGTTAAAAGCCAACACCAGAAAGCCTCAACTTTTCAGTATCGTTTCAGTGACAACAAAAGAAAACAGCTTCTCTCCAGACCTTCACGTCACGTAATCTGCATTAATATTGTTTTAGTGCATTCCAGATCTCTAGAGAAACTGACCCCCAACACTACTCCTGTTTCTTCCCACTTGTTTGTCTACATGTGGTTTTTTTCATAGGGTCAAAGCCAGTCACACAAAAACAACAAAAAAAAAATCTGAAAAGCTACACAAGCCACTTTGCATCAGGGTGCCTGCCAGAAGAGCAACCACGTGGGCACGCAGCGGTAGCACTCTCCCACCCACACCTTATCCCTGGGATAGCAGCACTCTCCTGGCCACTGCCTGCCTAGCGTTTTCTTGCACAAGATAAGCAAATACCTGCCCCTGCAGAACAGATGCGTTAACTTATTTCCCAGGAGCACTAAGGTTACCACAGAAGTCCACTCTTCTCGGAGGAAAGGAAATGCATGCTCACGACTGTTGGCTACCAGGCCTGACAGCCACAAACTTGGAATCCTAAGCAGTAAAGATGTCATATGATAGAGTTGTATCCAGAGCTGTTTAAAAGTAAAGAGTAATCACACACCACCAATTAAACAGGTGTAGTACCACTTATTATAGCTCCACACAGAATATACATTCAGCTATACTTTGGCAGTGGCAGGAAAAGTACATGCTTAAAAAGAGAAAGAAGTTTCCTGTGACAGCTCCCTAATCTCCCTACCAATCTATTCCAAAGTGTGACTAACTTGACCATCGGAAGTAATTTCCTCATATCTAATCCATGTTGTAATTTAAGTCCACAATTCCACCCCCATCCATTCCAAATAGAAGTCCCCCCTCCCCTCAGTTGCCAAGTACTTAGCAATATTGCACTGCCCACTGATCCCACTTAGAGCTTCACAGATTTTGTTTCCCAGTCCTTTCAAAGCCCCCCTTCTGACCTAACTTTTCAGTTTGCAATGATTTGCAAAAAATTTCCATATTAACTGGAAGATATTCCACAAGAAATTGTGCCAGCACAGTTGGTATTAGCTAAGACAGTAAATTTACTTTTAAGTAAAACAGGTATCTTGCCTGATTCTGTAATGATTCACCATCTACTGGAGCTCCATATATTCTTTTCTTGAATACGCATTAAAGAAAAGAGCCCTCAGCAATCAAAATTGAAAAAGCAGCTACATTCAAAACCACTGTTTCTCCCCTGCAGCAGTAACCTCTGACTAAACTCACGTGACTTCTGGAATGGCTGCCAGACAATGCATCAGCCCTGGTCACTGCTGTGACCTGAAACCATAGAGAGTCACAAATGTAAGGCCCAGCTACCAAAACCTGTATCCCCACACCAGGCAGATTTGGCATGTAACAGTAATTCCAAAGAACACATGCAGGTCTAGACTGGTTATCAGTAGTCTTGTAAGTAAGAAGCGACACTTGCAGTGAAAGTCGATGTCTCTTTATTGATTTATTGATACATTTGAATGCTTTACACTGGCATATATATACTGAAATTATAACCATAGATTTCACATTCATTTTCTACACTTCACAAACTTACCTTCAGCTTATGCAGTACATGTATACTCCTTGCAACAACCTTTCTACCATACCCGAACAGAAGAGCCACCACTGAAGGTGCACGTCATTGGATTTAACATGACAGAGTGCAGCACAGCCACTAAACTACTGAGAGAATTATTGTAATTGCTTAAGACTTGGTGACAGCCCAAAGACAGGAGCAGCACAAGATCCCTTAAAGCAGCACAAAATGAGCTAGTTGTCCTAACAGTATTTGTATAGATGCAGTCAAGGCTAGTTTTACGCACAGTAAGTTACGTGCCAACCCCTCCTTGTAAAGATGAGAGATGGACTGCAGGGTATCTCATTTATACTTCAAGTCTGAACTTTATTAAAAAAACCCACCTCATTTCTGTTAAGTCTACAGCGAGATTAAGATCTAGCCTAAAAGTAGCTTCTGCTAGCTCTGCTTGATAACCAGAAATATTACTGCTTGCAAAAGGCACCAATGCCAGAAGATCAGACAGATCCACCCTACCCTAAATAAAAACTAAAAGTTCTAGTCATAGCTACTCCTAGAATTCACATGTGGAATTTAGACCCATCTTCTTCTGTCATCACAACTCAAGAGTGTTTCTCCCCTGTAAAAACAAGTTTGAGGCAGTTTAATATTGCTACCAGAAACACATACAAGACAGCAAACATCACTGAACAGCATGATGCTCTTCTAGGAGTTGTACATTGCTCTGAAACAAAGCTATTAGTATCAACTTGACACCTCCCTCTGCCCCCACAGTTGTAGATTACTCTTACTACTCCATTAAAACGGAAACATGCTTACTGAAAAAGACATTCCCCTTGCTCAGACATCCCTGAGAAATCTGTGGATTCGGATGCCCCTAGTTTGGCAGGCGAAAGTACCAGCAACATGTGTTTTATCACAATCCACTATTCCTAGCTTATCTAATACATCTACACCCAAGCCCAATTCTTCCTAGTCACACTAACTTATGCATACGGCTATATTTTTCTGTCATTAAAACACACAAACGAAGCATGCTTTAAAACAAAACCACAAGCTTATACCTTGGTTTCAACAGACCAGTCTCACTAGTTTAGACCCTAAACACAAATTATTCCCGCCTAGAACCTTACTTCTAAGAGCTTATTATGTAACACCTACCCAGTCACGTACTTTTTGGAGGGGAAGATCTTCAACGGCAATTGATGAGTCTGCACACTTTCAACTTCTGCGCTCCTAAGGACAAGAGGGAAAAAAAAACCGAAAAACCCCACGTTCAAAACCAGGCCTCTAACCGCTTATTGAGAAAAAAAGGGAGAAAAACAAACAAGAAACACAAAAGGGGGCAGACTGCCAATCCCACGGCGCCCCACCTCTGCCGACTCGGCCTGTTACTTGCTACAGTCAACGACTAATACCCACATGAGGGTAAAAGTTTTGCCAATTAGCAAGGAGCTGCTTTTCCATGCCTAGGAAGGGAG